AAGAAATATGAGGGCTTTTGCTAAGTTAGCTGTGTTGCTAGACTTTCATTGTGGAATTTGTAATTCTACCAAAAATATTTCCATGTGAAGATGAACCATCAAGCTAAAAATTTAACTCAGCATTCGCACAAATTTATAAATTTTTTTGGTGGCACAACGGTACAACTTCTGGGAAACATCCTGTTAAAGGTAACGAGGCACTTAGCATATTTCTTGAAAAATTTGCTAAAAAATATCTTTGCACATTTCTGCTTTTGATAACTTATACCTACAAAAGTACATAACGATCCAAAAAGTGGTGAATTTTACCAGTCAGGCATCAAGGGGTGAAATATGAAATATGGGAGCATAAATATAGCATTAGGTACCTAAGATGACATTTGAATCAGTGAGTTCGAAAATACACCAACTCGGAAAAAAAAATTTTCAGGAAACACCTAAAACTTCGCAGCGGGCGAAGAAGTTAGTTTAAGAAAAACTTTTTTGGTGCCAAAGGACGCAAGAAGTACTCTAGAGACTTTAACGCACCAAGTTTCAGATACTGATTTTTCATAGTCTGCCCTGAAAAATTTATATTTTTTGACCTGAATAACGCTTGAATATTTATATAACTTGTTGGCAAAAGGTATACTGAACCGAAAAAATAAAACCGCATCGGATAGTCGCCCGTTTCCCTTGATCGGCCAAAAATTGGTATTTCCAATGAAATTCTTCGATTCTTCCCTTTTCCCGTCGCCGTTTCGAGCACTTCCGATTGCAATTTCGAAATATCCTTTTGCGTGCAGATGCTTCTACTTATCCATAAGTGTTACTACACCGTAAAAAAGTGAAAATCGAAAAAAACCCGTGTTGGAGTGTTTCCGAACTCACTGATTCATTTTACATTATTGGAAACATGATAATGTGGATGGATATGGATAAGGTGGGGAGACGGCAGACGATAGGATGGAGAGTAGGTATTGGTTAGAGAGTGCTCGAACTGCTCTGAGTTCCCGTCGCGCCACGCAGCCATCTTGCCTGCTCATTCCGAGGGGGTCTTTGCCTGCAAAAAGTAAACATCGATTTTTGCAGGCTATAGCCCTTTTCATGGCTTATTTGCCTGGACTAATAACAATCGGCGTGTTTACGTTCATATTTTCCTCGCCCGCCTTAATTGACCTTGAACTCTCCTCGAATAGACTCTATTAGTGCCACGTCACAGTCGGTATCGATTGTATCGAACTGGATCCAAACAATCAAACATAACCTTACTATTCAATATGAAACTAAAGAATTTCAGAGATAATTCGCCCAGTTTGAGAAAAAAGTTGTGTTAGAGACAGCTCTTTTAATCGCGGAACGTTCCCGCATTGTTAAGTTGACGGGATAAAGCAGTTTCAGAAAGGTGAAAATACCCACGAGGGCCACCATGATTTAGGCCACTCCTATGCCACTCCAGTTTCTTGGCTTTTGACAGTGAAATTCTGGGAGGGAGGTGTCAAGATGAGGTTATGTTTGATTGTTTGGATCCAGTTCGATACAATCGATACCGACTGTGACGTGGCACTAATAGCGTCTATTACGCGAGGAACTGCCACAGACAAATAGAGACCGAGCACGTTGGATTTTCAGTGAGGCACATCTAATTCTCGGGGATCCAACGGAACAACAGTAGTCATGTATTTTCTGATTTCGCCTAAAGTTGACTGATGCTAGTCGGCTGTTGGCATTATGGCGGTTTGCTTACATTCCTCCTAATCAATTGCAAAGCGGAAAATTTTCCAATTTTTCCTTTGAAACTCTTCCAAATTGTCATAAAATGACTTATTACTAGGTGAAAAATTAATTCGCCCCTTTTAATCAACATTTGTGATACTTTCGGTGGTTTCACTTTATGTAGTGAGAAGCAGATTCCTTGAGACTCTGAGCCTGGTCCGCAGATTGTTCAACTTCTTAATGGATAATTTTAGTTATTGAACTTTCTTTTGACTTTAAATGGTGTATAATTTTTTCTAGACAGTATCAATACCCTTTGATCAACTTCTCAATCTATTAACCTCAATATCATGTCGCAGGATAGAGATATTTTAGCTATTTGAGATCTGTCAAGAACCTGATCACAGCAGCACTGCCAGTCTTACAGATACACTGTATTGAAATTTGATGATAAAAATTTACTGTCTATGTCATGAGCTGCTCACTATGATAAGTATTAATCGTGGATCAAATGCTTGATGTCTCCAACATCCTATCTCTAAGCCTGATGTAGTGCGTTGAAAGCGGAGTGTTATGGCTGCGAAGCGTCGATATTTGTTGTTGAGGAGGCGTGTTAATGAAACGTTTGGATAAGCTCGCAAGCTGTACGAATTCTTTTGTGTGTGGAAAATAACTGAATGTCCAGAATTCTAAACATCTGACTGTATCTCAAGTACCTAAAGGAAATGTTGGCCAGGTCAGAGTTTGTGAATCCTTGACAGCAGTTAATGCAATTCTTCTGCGTATTTAAGGCCTTCGCTCATCAAAGTTAGGTAAGTAAGAGACCGCTCAGATCCATTATATTATGCTTGTAAGTATTGGTCCATAACTCCATAGTGTAAAAATCCTTGGAGGGTGAAGTGCCCATCATCTGATGGAGTACGTGAGATTTGTTTAAGAACTTTTCTTCCTGATTTTTCTCTCAATTTTACCAGAATTGTCTCTTCCACCACAATCATAAAGTATTTCAACCTTGCATTAAATGAGAAATGATGTATACGCTATCAACTTCACCTTAGAAATCCTAAAATTGGGAGTCGTGAAACATATAAAGTAGCCTCACCGTTAACATTTGCTAGCTTAGTTGGCAGTAAAACTCTCATTAATTCGATGAAAATAAAAGTAAATGTTTTTTCTTTGCTCATTTCGATGAGGAAACACATTGAATACATATAAATTGTGATACTGGATGCAACTAATACTACTTCCTGTAAAATTGGAAAAATGTGTAACTCAAAAAAAGGAAAGAGGATCTCACCAGGGTGCTCTCTTACAACTTATAGATCAAAATTCGTGATATTTCGGCCCTTAAAGGTTCTTTCATCATTCAGAAATAAAGAAACTCAATTTAGTTTGAACAGGAATCTTTCAAGAGAGAAATGTGACAGCTTATTTGCAGTTTTTAGCTTTTTCATAATGCGTCAAATCTACCTCTTGACGAGAACAGGCGAAGATTCGAACCGCGCACTACTTACTTATTGTTGGTTTACATTTCTCACTTACCATACTTTAGGGTAGCCTGGGGTTAAGTGGGCACGGCGGGTTAACTGAACACTCGACCTAGCTGCCACCTGGTGGGCAAACTCAAAACCAACTACGCGTCAATTTCCTCAGTTTATAGACCCTTACTAGTGTACCTTGCGCTGAGTTGATAATCTTTGTTTTTTTTAAGTTATGTTTACAAACGTGTTTCGTGGGGCGAAAAGTAAATTCCCGGTGCTGTGAACTGAAGCCCAAATGACAAATCTAGCTTTTGAGGAAGGCTTTGGTAAGTGCTTTATTGTTTCATCTATAGTTTTATGTACTATTTCCAGTGATTACTTTGGTAATTATTCCAATTGAGTACTATTTATGATTTTTTTTCTCTGAAATTCCGAAATGGGGTTAACTGAACACTACCAAATGGGGTTAACTGAACACTACCAAATGGGAATAAAGAGGGCATTCCCAGTTAACCCCATGGATTACAAGTTAGCCAAAACATTCACTAAAACTTGTTTTTTGATTTTAATTGCAGTATTTTAACAACTAAAAGGAGAAAAAGGACAATCAACCATGGGACCTATTCAAAAGTCATTGAAATAAATTTTCCGTATCTCTTAGTGAAAATGTACATAATATAAGTATTAAGACAAACAAAAAATCATCCTCAGATGTATTTCTTTAATTTTTAAGACTTTTCCACTTGTTCATTTGACTTAATAAAAGTTTCCTCTTTCAAATTATGCTTTTTCATCTTAGTGTCCAGTCAACCCACCCCCAGTGCCCAGTTAACCCACCCCACGGGGTTAACTGAGCACTTTCCCATTTTTTACAAAATCTAAATTTTGACCATGAAGAAATTTAAAAAATGAAACATACTATTTTTTGCAGATACCTTACATTATACTGAAGACATTGTACTTTAAAGATTAACTCTATCTATCACCAAATTTGTTTTATGATTTTTCAAACAAAATGGTGCCCACTTAACCCCAGTCTACCCTAATGAGCAAAGTTGTTACGTACGTAGGAGAATTTCATTAACTGCTGCCAAGGATTCACAAACTCTGACCTGACCAACATTTCCTTCAGGTACTTGAGAGACGGTCAGATGTTTAGAATTCTGGACATTCAGTTACTTTTCACACACAAAAGAATTTGTACTGCTTACAGGCTTATCCAACCGTTTCATTTACACGGCTCCTTAAAGACACATATCGACGCTTCAGTCGTAATGCTCCGCATTCAATGCATTACATCAGGCTTCGGGATAGGATTTTGGAAACAGAATTATTTACAGAGAATTATCTTGAAAAAATTATACACCATGTACAGTCAAAGAACATTTCGATTGCTAAAATAATTATCCATAAGGAAGTTGAACAATCTGAGGACCAGTCTGTCTCGAGGAATCTGTTTCTCACTGCAAGAAGTGAAACCACCGAAAGTATCACAAATGTTGAGTAGAAGGGGTGAATTAATTATTTACTTGGTAAGTCATTTTATGACAAATTCGAAGAGTTTCAAAGGAAAAATTGGAAAATTTTCCGCTTTGCAAGTGATAAGGAAGAATGTAAACAAATCGCCATATTGCCAAAAGCTCACCAGATGCGGCTAGCACCAGTCAACTTTAGGCGAAATCAGAAAAATGATGACCGTTGTTTTGTTGAATCGACCTATCATAACTGGGTCATTAATTAAGATATTGATGTACGATTTGCGCCAAAATTCCTAGTTTTTTATGCTCTTTCTAATGATGCATCACAAGATAGGGGTTACCATTTGAAAAAAGAAGTTGCGAGGGGACAAAAATTTTGACCCCCCTGGAAGATGGTCCCCATTAAGATAGAAACAATCCCAAAGTTTCGTTTTTCTATCTCTAACCGTTCAAAGGGGGGGT